TACATAAATCTACAGCAACTAGAAGATAATTATTTCCAGAGAGTGTAGTTTTGAATGGACCAGCTAAATCTATTGCCCAATGATCTGCAGGTAAATAAGATTGTAAAGGTCTTAATGGATGATAACCATGTTTTATTATATTATTTTTTGCACATATATCACAAGCACGTACGATACTTAATGCTTGGTGAAAAATACCGTTCCAATTTAATCCTTGACTTCGTAAGCCTTTTGTCATAGCTTCAGCGCCAAAGTGACCGAAGTTGTGCTGATCTAATAATAATTTGTGGCGATCTTCCACTGGGGGTGTGATCATATCAACAAATGGATTATCAGCATGTAAGGATCGTAAATGTAGAGCATTGTTTAAATCAAGTTTCGTATTACTAAAACTGTTTGATTGCGGAAGTGTATGTCTCAGTTGTGTAGAAACTGGAGCATTACCCCCTCTCAAAGAGTCAATATCATCTATGTCTTCATATAAACGGCTTAGTTGGTCTGGAAGTGTATTTTGTAAACCAGGAATATGAGCAATTTTCATACCAGGATAAGATAAAATAGTTTCAAACCAGTTGATCATCATACGATTAGCAATTGGCTGTGTTTGTAACCAACATAAAGAGCGATGATCAGTATGAAGTTCAAATTCTCGACCATATACATATTGGTGAAATTTGTGAAGAGCGAAAATGATAGCAAGAAGCTCTTTCTTGGTTGTGGAATAATTTCTTTCTGACTTTGATAATGTACGGGACATGAAAGCAATATGTCTTGTTTTATTGTTAATTATTTGATAAAGAACGCAAGCTATACCAGAATTACTAGCGTCAGTGCCAATATAAAAATTTTCATTTAAATTTGGATAGCGTAAGATAGGAGCCTTAGTCAATATTTGTCGTACAGTGTCAAAAGCTTTTTGTTGTGCGACGCCCCATTTGCCTGTAAGAGTCTTTTCATGACGTAAAATATCAATGGGAGACATAATTTTGGCACAGTTGGGTATGGACGAACGAAAATAATTAATTAGACCGCCGAATTTCATGCAATCCTTGCCTGTTTTTAAAGGTGGATAGTCTAAGACGGTTGTTACTTTACGAACGTCTAGAGCGATACCTTTAGAAGAAATACAGAATCCGAGTAAATGTGTGCTAGATTGAGCATAATTACATTTGTCAAGATTAAGGATGAGATTGGCATCTGTTAAAATTTTAATAACTTGAGAGACATGATCTGCATGTTCTTGCATGTTTGTTGATGCGACGATAATGTCATCGATAAAACAGTTAACGAATGAAAGATCATAGAATAAAAGATTCATAACTCGTTGGAAAGCACTACTAAGAGTTTTTAATCCAAAACAACCTTTTGCATATGAGTATTGTTTTCCTAAGAACATAAAACTAAGTTTTTGTTGATGCTCTTGTAGAACAGGAAATCTTTCAAATGCAGCTTTTAAATCAAGTGTTGTGAAGACAGTACATCCACTTAATCGTGAAAAGATGTCTTGAATATTATTGATAGGATGTCTATCGTTATTACATAAAGCATTATTAATTCCACGTGTATCTAAGCAGAGACGATGTTTTTTAATACCATCGGGACCAGCTGCTTTAGGTACTGCTGTTAATGGTTGATTCCATGCTGTATTAACAGGAGCAGGAATGATAACACCTTCTCTTAACCAACGATTAATCGTTTCTTTTAATTCAGGGATTAAAGCTGATGGTAAAGGATATTGTGGTCTATATATCGTAATATTAGGTGGTGTATCTAACCGAATCATAGCTTCTGGTAAAGGACAGTATGATGTAAGTGGAATATTTTCATTTTGAGTTAAAAATGGTTTTATTTTTACATGAAAGCTAAGTTGTTGTTCTTTAGTTCCAGCAGGTGAATTATTAGGAGTAGGAACATCATGTGAAGTATCATCACTAATATGTGGATGTGGATTATCGTCCCAAGATGTTGCGAGACCATGAATAGAAATACTCAGTTTTGGCATGAGATCCATCCCAATAGTCATTGTAGTATTTTCTGAAAGCGGTAAAGCTTCAAAGGTATGAGTGACTGTTTTGCCCCCATATTTTAAAAAAACATTTTTCACTTCCCCAACTCTTTTTCCTTCTAAACCCTCAATACATGTTATAACGGGAGCGTTATGTGTGAAAGGTGTAATGGTAAAATTATTTTTATTTAAAAAATTTATATGAAGAGATGACCGATCCGCACCTGTATCCAGCAAGGCTAGCGTTCTTATTTTATTCTGTAAAATAATAGGAACAAAGATAGCGGAAGGTAAGTTTGTGTCATTCAAAATAGTTGGTTCATTTTTTAAATGGTTCTTTTTAATATTGGTAGAATATTGTAATAAGGAATTGTATTGACCATTACCTTTGTTATTATTAGATGAGGAATTCATCAGTTCATCGTCATCGACCTCCAGCAAGTCTTCCAACTGCGGGGTGACACGGGACATACGGCTTCGTATGGTATTATTATTGTTATTATTATTATTATTAATGTTCGCACGTCTAGCATGAAGCATTTCGGCACACTGGTGACCCATCACAAAAGGAACACGGCGGCAGAAACGGCACCAATTCACCTTTGCGGCATTATATGGACCAGTGGAGCTACCTGGGAAACCATGATTATTATTATTCTGGCGATTATTAAAAAAGCTATTGTTGTTGTTGTTGTTATTGCGAGAAGAACCAAGAACTTCTTTCAACTTATCACATTCCCAGCGACGATGGTTGGACTTGGGATATAATGGACATGCATTTTTGTTGTTGATGGCTGGACCTTTTCCTTTGTTCTTTTTATTTTTATTATTGTTATTGTTGGACTTACGATGACGTTTCTTCGATGGTTTTTCTTCATCCGAGTCTTCATCTGAGTCACTTGAATCGTCGTCCGCCGAGGAAGGCGCCCAATCCCTAGCTTCTGACGAAGTGTCCGCAGCGACAAGAGATTGTACGGTTTGTACTACTGGCTCAATGTGGTCGGGTATCTTGTCACCATGGTGATTGGCAATAAGAATCCATGCTTGCTTTTAGTACCGTTTATTCAAGGAGCACAAGTAGTTGAAGACGAGGTCTTGATTGTTTGGGATACCGTATTTAAACGCGTACTCTTGCATTTTGTTCGAATATTCGCGGAGAGGTTCAGTTTTACCCTGCTTCATGGTCTGGATACGATGACGTCTGTAGAAGATCGTGTACAGAGAAGTGAAATATTTTTCAACTTCTACTCGGAAAGATGACCAGTTCGTGATTCCATCCTTTTTCATAGTTGTCAATAACCATGCTCGTCGATTGGCGTCACAAGTGAGAGGGATAAGATGGCGCCAGTTTTGTTCGACATCAAGACCATGAGCACCGAGGTGGACTTCAAAGTCATCCAGGAAAGTTTCCGCCGAGTCATAGCTTTCCCAACGTTTGTTATGGTGATGTTGACCTTTGAGTTGGAAAGCGGGCAGGTCTTTGGGAACCAGAGTGCTTTTGGATGAGGTTGCCTCTGTTTTTGTTGAAGAACGTAACTGATGTTGTTCTTGTAAAAGGTTTTCAATTATAGCGAGATGATGCTTCCAATCTTCATGCTGTTGAACAAGGTTTTGTACCTCCTCGATGTTACCTCTGACAGTGGCAAGGTGCAACAATTAGCACTGCGAGCGATTTGTTGTTGGAAGTAATGAGCTGTTAAAGCAGGATCACTGCCGGGACCAAGGTCTTCTGGATTGATGCTACCCATACTATCTTGAACATCGGGAATCCACATAGCTTCACCCATCATAGTATCATCGGCATGAGTGTTTTGAGATTGATTATTATTGTTAACAGGAGATTGGTTAACGGAAGATTGTTGGTTGTTGTTGGGGGATGAGTTGTTTGACATTATATGATAGTTCACAAGAAAAAAATGTGGTATTTATGGATATGAATTTAATAGGAAAATAAGGTAAGTATAAAAAAATGATAACAGAATAAGTCTTGTGAGAATCTTTCAGGTGTTTTATTATATGAAAATAATATTAAGATAAAAAGATATATGATAATTATTTCTATTACAAGTAAGTTTTATATATATATGTTTTAGATGTGTATTTTCCTGTATTTGTAGATGATGTTATATGATGTTAAATTGTGTATTATATGATTGTGAATAAATAAATTATGTTTGATTATTATATTTGTATATTGTATATAAAGTGTTATTGTGGTAGAATTATTATTTATGTATTTAGAAAGCAACCGATGTAAGATTATTTTATTGTTTTTTACATATAGTTTATATTTTAATTATCTGAGATGAAGGATTGACGTGTGCCATACGACACACCCATCTGCATCTGCATCCGCAGATGCAGATCAGATGAGCAGATATCAGATAAGATGAAGAATGCTACTGCATTCTACTCTCTAACCCTCTCAATTGTTTAATGTACAGACTCCATTGTACGTTTAGTGTTAGCAGACTTCAGGCTTACTTTTGAAGCTGCTTTTTGTTTTTCTGTTGCTTTTCTTTTAATATTCAGTTTATTCTTCTTCTCTATAAACTGAATGTTATACTTTTCATGAACAGTGAATAGTTTCTTTATAGAAACTAATAACATCAATGCTATACTTTATTAATAAGCTTTGCAGCTTATTAGTATCAATGACAATTTTGTTACTATTGAATGAACGTCTGTTTTGTGTAGGTGTAACCATCTTGCTCTTATTATTTTATTTTAAATATTTTGAGAAGTTATTTTATACAATAAAATAAAATTTAATTTTTATTTTTCAAAAATTTTAAAAGTATGCATGCCAAGATATCTATACATAAATTAATTTAATAAAAAATAATCTGGCTACCCCATTTTATTACGGCTATCTAACCAACTAGTTCCAACATGTCAGCATGTAGTTAACTATAACCTTGACTGGTCTCCATTAATATTAAGGTGCGGCGATTCGTTATATCAATTTACCGCGGATCGGAAAACAAATTAAAAGGCAGATATGGCCGAGCGGTCCAAGGCGCCACGTTCAGGTCGTGGTCTCGAAAGAGGCGAGAGTTCGAATCTCTCTGTCTGCAGTTTAGTGATTTTGCTTAATCATATATACTGGAGAGTGTTGTTGTAATTTGTTGTAATATTTTTATGGCGGAACAATGTCGTAGCCATAAATAGCAGTAACTCTATTTTCCTTTTTTATCCATTTGTGATACTTCTTTTGTAAACGTATTTTATTTTTATATTGCCACGTAGTTAATCCATATCACTGTCACATCATCATAATAATTATTCGAACACGTAGTCAACCTTCAGTCATGAACACGTATATTATCATTATTAGTTTATCATATATCTTATAAGTAGTTTAGAAAATATATAAATACCCCTTCACATTTCATATAATAAAACATCATCTTTCAACTTATACTTTATTTATTTATTATCTTTTGTTCTATTCTATTTCTAATTGGCTACGGTGTTATCCGCCAAAATATATTACGACAATTGGTAGCGACAGAAATTAAATAATATAAATATATATATATTTTTTTTATGTCCAAACAAGTCTATTCACCAGATAAATACAAGAACGTACCTAGTTTTCACGAATACCGCACAAGTAATAACGATCCACTAATAGACTTAGAACAAGAAACCTTTACAACAAAACAAGAAATTACCTTTGAAGATCCAGTATTAAAAATGTCAGAAGAAAATAAAGTTATCATGCAAGCATTAACCAAGTTGTTGGAAAAACAAAGCTCTGGACCTACCTTCCATGCTCGTATACGTGAACCTGACACGTATCATGGTGACCGTGGACTAGATGCCGCTACTGGATGGATTCGCTCTGTTGAACGATATCTTGAGATGGCCGATTTGAGCTCGCACAAATGGTCTGATTATGCTGCAACCTTGTTGCGTGATGAAGCTGACACTTGGTGGAGACAACAAGAATTAATGGGAGACTGTGATGAATGGTCAGTATTTAAAAAAAGATTTTTGGCGAACTTTAGCCCCCCAAATCGCTTACAATTGGCTCGTGATCATCTGGCGTCCCTTGTTCAAACAAGTACTGTAGCAAACTACGTATCACAATTTCAAGCAGCCTGGTCTTCGGTACCGTCAATGGTGGATGAAGAAGCACTGGATCGATTCCAACGAGGGTTACAACCTACTATTCGTCTTCAAGTTATGACACGTTTCCCCTTAACAACCGATGATGCAATGCGTTTGGCCTTAGCAGTCGAAGCTGCACAACAACGAAGTCAAAATATTTTATCCGAAAATAATCATCATCCTCTGTCGGTGCAACATCAACATCAACAATCCGCTCCTGAATACCTCCGTTCTTCTGGTGTAGCACCCATGGACTTGGATGCCATTCGTTCACGAAGACAAGAATCAAATTGGCGCTCATCAGGACGCAGTGTTAATAATCATTGGCGTGGTAATAATAATTTTCATGGTAGTAACAATAATGATCGGGAATGTTATAATTGTGGTGGCTTTGGTCATATTGCTCGTTTCTGCTCTTCTCCTCGTCGCCAAGGTCGATCCAATAATCAACATCAAGGACGGTCATACCAGGGAAAAGGCCAAGCGCGTCAGGATTAAAGGGAGTCCTGCCGCGTTCCATTCCATCCCTTAACGTTGTTCAAGATGAGGTGCCAGTAGTTCCTGAAGGCGAGCTTATCGATTTATCCGATGATCAAGATGAAGACTCTACAATGTTACAAAAGACCTTAGATGAAGATAAACATTATTTTAATTCCTTACTTTCAATAAAAGAAACTGATTTACCTCTGTATTTAATGTCGTGTGGTGATTGTGCTGTTAAAGTGTTGATTGATTCTGGCGCTTCTGGCTCATATGTTGCTTCAAGGATTGCTGCTGGTTTAACAAGTCGTTCTGTTTCAAATCGGGAGGTTGAAACGGCTGGTGGTCATGTACTGGCAATCAACAAACAAGTTAGTCTTCCTTTGGATGCACAAGGATATAAACACACCATGGATGCATATGTTCTTGATACAAAGTTCGATGTGATCCTTGGTCGTAACTGGCTCAAGACCGTACAACCAATACCCGACTGGGAGCTAGATACATGGCGAATTAATAAGAATGACCAACATTATATTATCCGTCCTCACAACAAGCGTGACATTCCTGACCTTATTTATCTTCTATCACATCGTTAAGTCCAGCGTTTAGAACGCAGCAAGGGGATTGATAATATGTTCTTATGCTATGTTCGCCCCAATGATACAAGTGCCAGTGTTGCCATACAAGATTCAGCTGAATCATTGGTAAAGGAATTTGATGATGTATTTCAAGATACTCTTCCAGGTTTGCCTCCTGATCGTGGTGTTGAGCATGTCATCGACACCGGTGATGCAGATCCAATTTCTCGGCCCCCTTACAAAATGAGTCCTTTGGAATTGGTTGAACTGCGTAAACAGATCCAAGAATTACTTGATTTGCGATTGATCCGACCAAGCTCATCACCATGGGGTGCTCCGGTATTATTTGTCCGTAAAAAAGATGGTACTATGCGAATGTGTATTGATTATCGTGCCGCCAACCGAGTAACAAAGCGTATGTCTCATCCACTCCCTCGCATTGATGAGTGCCTTGAACAACTTCATGGCGCCAAGTATTACTCTAGTATCGATCTGAAAAGTGGCTATCATCAAATACGTATCCGAAAAGAAGATATTCCAAAGACTTCTTTTAATACACGGTATGGTTCCTATGAGTGGGTAGTTCTTCCTTTTGGTTTAATGAATGCACCGCCAGTATTTCAGAAAACCATGAATTCGGTGCTTGGCGACTGTATTGACAAGTTTGCAATGGTGTATCTTGACGACATTTTAATATATAGCAAAACAAAAGAAGACCATTATCGACATTTACGTTGTGTCCTTGAACGCTTACGCAAAGCTAAACTTATTGCCAATTTGAAAAAGTGCGACCTTTTCAAAACTGAATTGGAGTTTGTTGGTTTCCAAGTTTCGGCGCGTGGTATTCTACCCTCCACAAAAAAAATACAAGCTATTCAAGACTGGCCAGTTCCATCGAATGTACAAGAAGTTCGTCAATTTGTCGGCTTGGCGTCGCATTACCGTCGTTTTATTAAAGGTTTCGCTTCGTTGGCTGCACCGTTAACTGAATTGACAAAAGGAACAGGAGCGAAGAAAAGGGCGATTGCGTGGACAAATAATTGCCAAGTGGCTTTTGAAAAACTTAAAGATCGCATGACTGCTGCTCCTATTTTGGTGCCACCTAATCCGGATGCCCCCTATATCATTGAAACCGACTCTAGTGATTTCGCTGTTGGTGCTGTTTTATTACAACAAGGCGATGATGGTCAACTACATCCTTTGGCTTTCGAATCAAAAAAACTTTCAGCTGCCGAACGAAACTATCCGGCCCAGGAACGAGAATTACTAGCGATATTACATTCATTAAGGACTTGGCGTTGCTTTATTGATGGTCGACGTTACACAGTTTTCTCTGACCACCATCCATTAAAATATTTCCGTTCTAAAACCAAGCCCACACCAAGACTGACCCGATGGATTGCCGAGATTGAACTGTATGACCCTGATATACAGTATAAACCAGGTCGTGACAACCATGTTCCAGATTTGTTATCAAGGCGGGATGGTCCAACTTGTCTTACTGATGAAAAGTCTCTGGAGCCTGATTATCTTTATGCTGTTAAGTCTGTCCAAGAATCAGATTGGCCAAAATTTTATGCCCTTGGTGAAGAAAATTGGCCACATATGTACAAGGACCTGTTAGCAAAGCACAAAGAAAAGTTTGTAGTCCGGGATAATCAAGTCTTTCGTTTGGTAAAAAATGATAATGAAATCACAGAAATGCGATATGTTTTGTTTGCTCGTCGTGCTGATCTGGTCCAAGATTTTCATAAATCTGTTGGCCATGCTGGTAATCTTACAGTTTATGATCTGATGCGTAAAAGATGGTGGTGGCCTGATATGCGCTCGGATATCCAAGGATGGTTAGCTACTTGTCCTCAGTGTCAACTTGCTGCTAATGCCGATCGGAAAACTCATCATGCCCCAATGAAGCCTTTAGCTGTTCCTCCAGTTTTTTCTCGTTGGCATTTAGACTTCGTTGGTGAGTTACCAACTACTGTTAATGGTAACCGTTGGCTTCTTGTGGCTGTGGATTATGCCACCAATTGGACTATTGCTCGTGCGGTGCCTGATGCTACTGGAGAAGCCATCGCCAATTTTATTTATGAAGAAATTGTGCTCCCATTTTCCTGTCCTGCTGAAATCTTAACAGACCGTGGTGCTAATTTCATGTCAAAGGTGTTGGCTTTGTATCTGGGTCGTCTCAAGACTAATCATATAAGAACTAGTGCCTTTCATGCACGCAGTAATAGTAAGGTGGAACGTACCAACCAGGTTTTAAAACAAATGTTGCGTAAATATACTCATGGCCAAATCCATTGCTGGGACCAATTTGTTGACGCTGCTGTCTTTGCTTGCCGAGTCCGTAAACATCGTACTACTGGTTTTAGCCCTTACTTTTTGGTGTATGGTATCGAGCCTAAATTACCTGGTGATGTTTTGCCTCCCTTTATTCAAGTAAATGAATCTGCTCCTAGCGAATCTTTAATTGTTCAAGGCCGTGTGCCTGAAGCACGCCGATTACGGGAAGCTCGTCTTATTGCCGAACAAAAATTACAAAATCAAGCTGCTAAGGATAAGGCCATCTGGGATGCTGTACTCAAACCGCAAAATTTTTCTGTTGGTGACCATGTATTAATGCGGCATGAAAACAAGTTTAGCCTTGAGTATAATTGGAAAGGCCCATACAAAGTTATTGCTGTCAACCCTGATCACCATGTCTATCAATTACAAGCTCTTAATGGCCCTATTTATAATTCTTGGGTTCATACTGACCGTTTGCGGCCTATCCATGTTAATTCCGCTCTTTCTTCTGATCCATGGTTTGACCCTACTGCTGTACGCGCTGCTGAACGTCGCCATCTTGAAGCTGTTCGTAATCTTGCTGTATTGTCCGAGGACGTACAATATTCTGGGGA